TAGTTTAAAGAGGTGTTTTCCTTAACCAAAGCATTGCTTTCATTACATAATTATATTGTTTCTAGCCCCTCCGCCAATTCCTATTGGAATCACTCAATAACATGGACTATTGATTTTAGTCCCCGCTTTTCGCAAAACTAGTGACCAAGAATGTTTTATTTTTGTACTATATAGCCACAAATGCAAACACCGCAATTGCTACTCTTACATTATAAGTAAACAATGAAATATTAGATGCTATCAGAACTTCTAGGAATTTGTTCCGCCCAAAACATTATATTTTCGAAGCCTCTTTTTTATTCTTCTTATTATTTAATGTTGTCATTAATGTCAATAACAGCTTGTATTGTTTAAAATGCTCAGTATTTGTCCACTCTTAAAATAAACATTTTGCAAATACACCGTTACACATTATTAGACCGTTAACCACACCATTATTTTCAGCCAATTCACATTTTGTTATATAACTTTATATGCTCAAAACAACTGCACATCCACGCACACTGAAGCGAGCATTCAATAATCTCCCCTCCCACAGGCTCTCCGTCTCTCCACCCCATTCTACCCCACTCACCAAGCACTGGAGTCCACTCCGTAGAAACACCGTAGCAAGAACAGCAGAGGTGTGAAAGCGTTTTAATTTAAGAAAAATTCAGATTTTTGAGTTTTGTATACATTCCCCAGGTGGTGAGTGAGGAAGTCATGAAGGCTCACATATCTGCGTTCACTTGATAATTTCGTCGTGGTCCTAAAGCCGCCGTTCTTCTCCTGAGATTGAACGATTTGAAATTCATTGTCAAAGATACACCCGTCTCTCCTGAGAGCACAAGAGGTACGTAACGTAAGCCACATTTTGTAGGCATACTAAAGAGATAAAAAACGACCACATATTGTTAAAAAAATTAATAAAAATGCAGCGATTATGATGAAGTGACAAGCGTCCGACTGCAAATGGCTTCGCGTGTTCAGCGGTCCTAAAGCCAGCCATTTTGTGTGATATTGAAAAATAAGAGTAGTTGTATGCGTTAAAGACATGTTCATTAGCTCTTTGAATTGCCACTGTGTTGCATTTACATTGATTCGATTTGGTCATGGTCGTTATGTTTAATTTCTAATACATATATAATACATTTATAATTTCTGTTAACATCGAAATGTAATTCAGTTTTGTACACAAGCAGCCCAGATGCCAACTTCAGTTTTGTATACATTCCCCAGGTGGTGAGTGAGGAAGTCATGAAGGCTCATATATCTGCGTTCACTTGATAATTTCGTCGTGGTCCTAAAGCCGCCGTTCTTCTCCTGAGATTGAACGATTTGAAATTCCTTGTCAAAGATACACCCGTCTCTCCTGAGAGCACAAGAGGTACGTAACGTAAGCCACATTTTGTAGGCATACTAAAGAGATAAAAAACGACCACATATTGTTAAAAAAATTAATAAAAATGCAGCGATTATGATGAAGTGACAAGCGTCCGACTGCAAATTGCTTCGCGTGTTCAGCGGTCCTAAAGCCAGCCATTTTGTGTGATATTGAAAAATAAGAGTAGTTGTATGCGTTAAAGACATGTTCATTAGCTCTTTGAATTGCCACTGTGTTGCATTTACATTGATTCGATTTGGTCATGGTCGTTATGTTTAATTTCTAATACATATATAATACATTTATAATTTCTGTTAACATCGAAATGTAATTCAGTTTTGTACACAAGCAGCCCAGATGCCAACTTCCTTTGCGAACAAGAGCGTCTTTCTTAATTGCCCCTGAGGTCCTAATGCCGGCCATTTTGTGCTGCCTGCCCCATCCCAGCCTATTAACATCTTTTTACAAAATATTCAGCATGGTTTCTGCCAAAATACTACATACTAGTTTTATTTATATAGGCCTACTCTGTACGTTATATACATTATTATACCAAATACTATATGCTATGTTACTACAGTAATTGTTCTTACAATAAATCTGTTAACTTAAATTTGCCACCATTGTCATAATACATAAAATATACTATATGACAGGGGAAAATGCATTTCTAAAACAAAATTAACAAAAAGTGTAGTGATCATGGTATTTTGACTGAAACTGAAAAAGGTAAATTTATGTACTAACCTGCAACTTCAAGTCACTCTTTTTTTTTTGGTCAGTGGTCAAGTAAAAAAAAAAAAAAAATTATATATAATAATATTATTATACAATAATTTATTGTTATTATTATTAATGTAATATTTATGTAATATATTTTTCCTAAAGAAAAAGAATGAAAAAAATTTGGAAAAAAAGAGTAACATATAACAGCCCAGAGTATAAGTGATAATAAAAACAAGTATATACGAATTAATCTGTTAAATGTAAGTGAAATAAATGAACTAAGTAAAGTAAATGAAGTAAGTAAATTAATTCTAAATTAAATTAAAACGTAAGTTCAAGGCATTCATTGTGCAATTTCTTGTTCTCTCCAGCATCATCAGGATGGCTTCACCTCATCCAGGTAGCCCACCAGCCGCAGAGCAGTATACACCACTACCTTCTGAGACCAAGCCCAACAAAGAACCAGACAACTCATCAGAACAACCTACAAAAAGAAGAGGCAAAGGGAGACCCCCAAAAACTTTGCACGCTTTTAAATGCTCAACCTGTCAGGAGGTCTTTACCAGCCCTTCAGCTCTACAAAGCCACAAGCTGTTGGTACATGGTAAAGACAAACAGCAGCAATACACCTGCGGTAAGTGCACAAAGACATTTTCCAGCCGGACACAGCTTTCCAAGCATCAGCGCTCCCACTCTGCTCAGCGTCCGTTCCAGTGCCCACACTGCCATAAGGCTTACAAGACTCCAACAGAGTTACGCAACCACAGCCGTTCACACACAGGGGAGAAACCGTTTGTTTGTTTTGACTGTGGCAAGGCATTTATGCAGGCCATTTGCCTGCGTATCCACATGACGCAGCACAGTGGCGAAAGGCCTCACTCTTGCCCTCATTGCTCTAAGAGTTATCCCACACTATCCAAACTCAAAGTGCACCAACGATCACACACCGGGGAGAAGCCTTACTTTTGTTCCGAGTGTGGGAAGAGTTTTGCCGACCCTTCGGTGTACCGCAAGCATCGGCGTAATCACCAAGGCCACCGACCATATTCTTGCGGCCAGTGTGGTAAAACGTACACGGAGCTGAAGGACTTGAAGAATCATGAGCGTTCCCACACGGGCGAGAAGCCTTACCTGTGTTCAGACTGCGGCAAAGCCTTCTCCCGGTCGTCCTCTTTGGCGTGCCACTTGCGAATCCACTCCAAGAGCAAGCCATATCAGTGTGAACAGTGTGGCAAAGGTTTTACTCAGCTGTCCTCATACCAGTCCCATCTTCGTACCCACTCGGGTGAAAAACCCTTCTTGTGTCCACAGTGCGGCAAGATGTTCTCCGATCCCTCTAGTTTCCGCCGACATCAACGGGCGCATCAAGGATTCAAGCCGTACCCTTGTGACAAGTGCACTAAGAGGTTTCGGCAGCCGGCAGACCTTGCGGTGCATCAGCGTGTGCACTCAGGTCAGCGGCCCTACAAATGCCAATGCTGCGATAAAGCTTTCGTCGCTTCTTGGGATCTGCGGCGCCACATGCTAGTTCACTCCGGGCTGCGGCCTTTTTCTTGCACGGAATGTGGCAAGTCCTTTACGGAGCGCTCAAGTCTGAACAAACACCGAAGAGTGCATTCAGGGGAGCGTCCTTACAAATGCCAGCTGTGCTTCAAGTCATTTGTTGTGTCATCCAGTTTGCGCAAACATGAGAGGACACACTTGTCCGAGAGGCCATTGCAGGTCCTGGTCACTCCTGAAACAGCTCAGATGTTTCCCACCACCCTTCCCCAGTTTTCCTGCTCTCAATGTGATATGATATACGGGACATGGGAGGAAGTGCAGGCCCATACCAGCCTTCACACTGTCTCTCCCCCGTCTGATTCTATGGTTTCAGCTTTGCCTGTTGGCCCACATGTTTGTGTGACCTGTCAGGCAGAGTTTGCCCTGCTGGCTGATATGCAGGAACACGAGAAACTGCACCCCAAGCCACGACCTCACGTTTGTGACCAGTGCGGTAAGGGTTTTCTCAATAAAGCCGGGCTTCGTAAACACCAGCGCATCCACTCGACCAATCGGCCACATTGCTGCACTGTTTGCGGAAAGGCTTTTCTTTTCGCTGCCTACCTACGCAAGCACTTACGCACCCACCGCGATACTGAGTCCTCATCCTCCATGCCTCAGACAGATGTAGTGCACAGCCAACCCCTGCCGTCCCCACCTAATGCTGCGTCACCGTCGGGATCCGAGCCCACCGCTATTTCTCTGCCTGTTCCGGTGACTGTGCCAGTGTCGGCATTTCAGACAATGCCAGCCCATATGTATATAGACAAGGAAGAGGGGCTCTGAACTTGTTGCTGACCGTGTCAGCTGTTTTGAACATTTGAGCAATGTTCACATTATTGTTACTGCTGTTCTATTCACAAAACAAAGAAAATCTTGCAAAAAGCCTGAAAAATCAATAAAATCTCATTTTTAAATAGGATTAAATGCTTCAGTGCATAAATAGTCACAAAATGATGTCTTTAATTTGCCTTGATATTGTACAAAAATGTATTTATCTTTAGAAATGTACCAAGATTGCTGAGAGGATTCTTATTTTTAAGGTATGTCTGAATCAAAGAGTCAGTCAATGGTTCTCCTCAGTGTCATAACCACAGATTTAATCTGTCATGTTTATACACTTGAAATCAGTGTAATAATTGAATTCTGATTTTAATCACGAGTCCAATGACTCATTTAAATCAATAAATTTTTCTCCTTCTGAAGTTTAAACAGCTGTTATTATATGAGTGTTTTTTTTAAGGCAACAAGCCAGTGAATGTGGTGGTAAATATGACAGTAATTATGTTTTGGACATAACATAATGGTTTTATGCTGTACAGTTAAACAATATCGTCTCTTGTTCTTCTTTATGTGTCCTAAAGCAAAATGGACCTTTTTCACATTTCCAGGTTTTTCAGTCTTGTGAAAAGGGTCCATTGTACTTCATGGATTTTTGACGGTTTGGTGTAGTGTAATATGATTTGAAAAAGGTTTCATTTATAATACCATTCACAATTTTGGACACATTGATTAAAAGTTGTTTTCTATGTTCTTAAAAATGTTTAATCTAGTTTTGTAGACACAAAGATATGACTTAGTTTTTAAAAAAATTGTAATGAATGAATTATTTTTTTAATGATTCATTAAGTAGATGAGTAGGCATAGATAGTGAAAGAAAGAAGCCGGCAGTTTCAGTTTCATAGTTTTGATTATTTTGTTTATAATACATGTGGAAAATAGTTAAATTAGTAATTAAATTGGTATTAGTTATAAAAAATAGGTGTCAAAAATTTTAACTAGTGGTAGAGTATGCCATTAAACTAACATGTCATTTAAATTCAGTTTGGAAAATCATCTAAAAGGGTGAACAGTAAACACTTGAAGTGAGTTAAATATAGATATTATTGTTATATAGACAAATACAGGACAAAACTACTTGAGATCTTGTATTAACCCCAAGTTAAGAAAAAAACTGTGGATAAATGTGAGAAACCAGTTTTGATGACACATACAGTTACAGGCTATATAGTGAGTGAAGTTCAAAAATTACAACAACTTCAGCACTGGACAAACACACAAAACCTTCGTTCCCTATAAAAAGGTATGTTGGGCTCATGTTCTTTAAACAAAATATCTACACTGATTTTTGAAATCATGTTGATGTCATATCTCACAATGTACCAAGTATTTTAAGCAGATACCACATATTTGTTATATGACTGTAATTGAAAATTCTCCCTTTTTTATGCAGATACATTCTTTATTTTCCATAAAGAAGACGAATCCACCCTAGAGAGCGATGGCAGCAATAGTTACCGGGCTCATCCCAATCCTCCGCACTGCGGTGGACTCCACTGCCACCTATAAGGGTCGCACCATGTGGTTCGGCTTGCTCTGCATCCGCCTAGTGACCGTCTTTCTTGCTCAGTTTCCATGGAAAAGCCTAAACGAGGATTTCCAGTGTAACAGCACTGACTCCTTCTGTAATAAAGCTTGCTTTAATACACACTTCGACAATGCTGTAGTGATGGCGTGGCATTTCCTCTTCATCCTTCTTGTGCTCTCGGTTCTTCTCATGGAGCTGTTTTCCTCCCATTTTCAATCTTCATTCCAGAAGAAGAAGGAGAGAGAAATGGCATCTCAAAGCGAGCAGGGAGCTGTCACTGATCCCACCATGACTATTGGTGGTAGGATGATGATAGACCTCCACAAGAGCAAAAGCAGTGTGGTGGTGTACCTGTTCAGCGTCATGCTGCGGATTGCAGTGGAGGTTTTGTTTGTGTATGTCTTGCTGTGCTGGGTTCTGCCTAAACTGAATGAAGAGTCATACCTTTGTTATGCACAAAAGTTTGGTACGTGTTCAGTACAGCAGTGTGTGGTCCGAGGGGCAGCAGAAAAGAGAATGTCTGTCTATGCATTACTGTTTATATCTGCCCTGGTTATTATAACAAGCGGTCTGTTCTGTCTCTACTCAATAGGCCACTATCTCTGTGATGGTTAAAAAAAGGTTCCCATTGAACACAAGCATATATATATATATAATTTTTTTTTATTTTGCCATACAGATGAATATTAGGAACTGAATTGACTCTATTTTTATTCAGTTTGATTGGAATTGTAAGTTAAAATGTAACTTTGCAAACAAAGCAAGAAGAAAAATTTGTCAAGGAAATGTTTTTTAGCACTGTGTGGTGTTTCTGTGTCTGCATTTTTGCGTTGTTTGGTCTGGGTGAGAAGTCATTTTTTGTGTGAATGCTGACTGAGCTGTTTTGTTTTAGAGTTTAATTGTTGTACATTTCAAAACTCATACAAAAAAAATACAATGTTTTAGAAAACAAAGAATCATCATTGTTTCTCGTTTTGCTGGCCAGATTTTATTTCTTTATATTATTATTTACCTATATATTAAATTAAAATCAATTAATAACAATGATATTATGCTGTATGTTTTGAGAATTTTAAGTACCGTAAGATTATCACAGACCATATTGAAAAAATACATTTGGCTGATGGAGCAGATCAGTTGCAGAGGTCTGTGTTGCAGCACACTTTCTCCACCTGAGGAGGCACCTGAGCATCACACTCATTAGTCTTTGCACATCTGCGCACCTCACCGTCTACAAAAAGAAACACACACATTAAATAATATTCACTATGAATCATTGCACTCCATCAATTGATGCACCTGCATCTCAGTTTACACATGCAATAAAACTTAAATAAGGAACTATCCTGTTTTTTTCAGTTTTAACATCTGAGGAAAAGAATACGATCAACTTACAGGCTGGAGGATGCATTTTGATCTTAATGCACTTATCAAAACCACTGCTGCATTCTTTCTCCTCTATCGTATCACAGGTGGGATTGTCTTCGTCAATCTTCAGGCAGTAGTTGCACCTCAGTGCCTGTGCAACTAATGAGATCACAATTTTGAAACCTTTGTTATAATTGTAATTAAAAAAAGCTTTTGTTGTGTGCTGAATTCATTATAATGGTCTTAATATATATATATATAATTTAGAAATTTTAAGAACAATGATTTGGAAAAAGTCAAAATTGTTTCCCACTTACCACAGAGGGCACCTAAAAACATGATCAGAACCAATGTGCGGGATCCCATCTTCATGTCTTTATCAAACTGCCGGTAATGAAGTATAATGAATGATTAAATATGGAATGTATATATAATGTAAAATATATTTATTTATGCATCAAGACTGAAAGTACTGTAAAAATAGTCTGATAATATCTTTCTTACCTTAGTCTGTAGTGTTGCTCTGGAATTAATGAGGGAAATGAATACAGCATGTATATATATGACACCTGATAACACCTGTCCTGTCCTCCTCCCTGCCCTGCCCTTACAATAACTTGCTATGGGGTATTACATGTCCCATGTACCATTTAGATCCTCAGTTTAAATAAACATAAATGCAGCCGTTATGACATAAAATCAACATCATAATGTAATTTACTGTTTTATTTCCATTTAGCAACAGCAGTTTTATTACAATTAACCTGTTTTTTAAAGTGTATTTGTATACTTACACAATTTACTTAAAATTATATAATTTACTTAAATTCAAACATTTTAAAAGCCAATGTGTAACACTTGTTGTCACCTTACATAAACATAGACATGGACAATTTTAATTTTAATATCTTACATGTAAAATACATGTTATGAGAACGGTATCGCACACATTGCCTCGAAATTGAGGTCATTTGCTTTGTGTGCACAACAATTGTGAAATATTATACTGTCCCACCCATATGTTTTTCTCACCCAGGGCTGAACAAATGAGAACATTCTTAGTCACATGCACATATTTTGAGAATCATGAAATAAAGGTTTATATCCTTTAAATATTATATCAACTGGTTCGAATTATTTGTACTTTTTCATAAACAAATACTAGAAAAAAAAACATGACATCTGAATAACAAGGAAAATGAACAAGCGACTGCCTTTTGGAGAAAAAATATCTGTATAAAACAATCAAAGTACTGTACTGAGAAATAATAATATAAAAAACATTAACAAAACATCAAATATATGAATGACAGAAAACAAATACTTGACATTTTTTTCCTCACTGATCCTGGTCATCTCAGTGGAGAATTGTGTTGTAATCCACAGAACCCTCTTTATACAGACACATCGAAAGGATCATACCACATATCTGCAAAGAGGATATTTTTCATAAATGAATCATCCATGGTTCAACCATTCAGTTAACCATTAATGATATAATATCTACCTCTAGCAATGCACTCAATTAACGTTTCTGGTCAAACACTGCAGATTCAAATGTTGGGACCAAGCCAATGGCCGAATCTTCACACCACACACTAGGCTACTATTATAACAGCACAAACAACATATACCTTGCCAGTATTCCACAGTGAAATCTCTGTGAGTAAAGATATAATTAAAAGTAACCACCGAGGCCTTTGTACAATCATATTTTGTAACTCCGAACTCACAAAACAAACAGCCACACAGTTAGAAAAAGGTAAGAAAATGTACAGTTAAATGTATATACTATTAAACAACACTATGAATTGGTTGGTTGCTATATTGTTTCCACACCAGTATCATGCATTAATGTAACTTATTACACAGCGCTCTATATTTGACTCTGATTGGTCAATCGCAGCATTCAACGGCCATAAAATTTCATAATGTTTAACATCGTCCATAGCAACATTTCATTTAGCAGTTTAGTTTATTTACTGTTGTTCAGCGAATTTTCCCAGCCAGAGTTCAGTTGAGTTCAGAATTTTGGTGGGTTTGAAAGTAACTTCTTTGTGAGCTTTACTTAATATATTACTTACTTAATATATCACTTCACTGTTGACAATAGACAAAGGATCTTTTTGGCCCATAATTTGACTGCTCTCTCTTGTTTTTAACAAATGCAATCTTACATCTCAGTTACTGAATGTAATAAAAATGGAGAACCTCAGTTTTAATATAACTGTAATGTCATTGCGTTGTTTATCTTACTACTAGGCCAATTATTTTGTGATTGATAATATACAGGTAAGATTCTAAAATAATTTAGAATCAATATTTTAACTCCACCCATAAATTTTTTTAAAAGGAGCCGTGTAATAAGTGGGATCATTTTCACTCAGTATTTCAAAATAAGCTCCTTAAGGCTGGAATACAGTTGTTGAGGTTGGAGAGTAGTCTGGTAGTGTATGATTCTCATTTATTTTAGTGAATGATGTCCAGTTTTTCATGCTTAGTGTTTCAAAATGTGTTCAGATTTAAAATTTGTGTAGTGTATTCCAGGCTTTAGGGGTGATACGTCCACCCATAATTTTTTTTAAAAGGAGCCGTGTAATAAGTGGGATCATTTTCACTCAAGCTCCTTAAGGCTGGAATACAGTTGTTGAGGTTGGAGAGTAGTCTGGTAGTGTATGATTCTCATTTATTTTAGTGAATGATGTCCAGTTTTTCATGCTTAGTGTTTCAAAATGTGTTCAGATTTAAAATTTGTGTAGTGTATTCCAGGCTTTAGGGGTGATACATGACATTATTTCGGTATGCAAAAATGAAGCACTCAGACACACTACACTAGTCACAAACTGAGACCTGGACAGCTGAACATGACTGCCATGTGACTCTCTAGGGCAGCAGTGGTGTGTGCGATTAAGGCAACAGTAAGATACAAGGCATATCCACTGAAGACACTATGAGACAGAACAACATTTTACTTCATTTATTCTCATTAACTCTAAGCTTGGACAGTAAAGGGTTATAGTTATTTGGATTTTCTAACTCGGGTCTAAAGTGACAGCTTGCTTACCTCCACCACAGAAATGGCCAAAATAACCACCAAAATTATGAGAAGATTTTCGTCCAGCCATTCCTTTATATTCTCACTGCAACCCTTAGAGAGAGAGAGAGAAAAGAGGCACAACTCGATGTGTTATGTTGGAGCACAATTTACTAAATAATCACTGGGCAGAAACTGAAACCGTACCTGCTTATAAACCCCACAGGTGTGATTTGAATGGATTTCATCTGAGAAACATGTGTTACACTTATTTGGATCTTGGATTTCATATGTCGCATTGACAGTGGCATTGCCTATGTTGTAGCAGGAACAGGGTATAGAGTCCTCCCAGTCTTCTGTTCCATGCCAACCACAGCATTTGGCCTGTGGAGATATAATGGTGGAGGTGATATCTTGTTTCAAACTTCTTAATGTACCTGTCAAAGTTAGCTTTAAAGTTCGAATGAAATCATAGCATATACCAGGGGACACCTCTGGCAGGTAGAAGAAAAACATAATAAAAAGACAGGAATATTATGCAGATAATTTTGTCTAGAGCATTACTGAAAAAAATATCGCATGTTCATGAAAACTACATTCGTAGTCAGACACCTTTTCTTAACTTTTTATCTTTAAGCTTTTTAGCTTAAATATATACACTTTTTTTGCTGCTTTTTCAATTTACATTTCAAATGAGCTAAAGCAATGCAACTGCTTAATTTCATTGTGTATAGCTTCATTTAAATATGTAAAATCCATTTGTGTTGGCACTACATGAATCATTTTTATGCAAACACTGCATGCAAACGCTTGCCTCAAAATCAAAAAGTATGTACTTATACACTTATTAATTTGTTAATTTGTGGATTTTACTTAATTTTATGTGTGAAATGTACTTGGAAAATGTGTTTGCAAAAACTTGCAAAAGATTTTTCATATTTAGCATTCTTTTTGTTGTTGTTTTTTACTGGTGTGTGCTTTTATGCTGTGACTCTCACCTCCTGCTGAATGTACTCTAGAGTATTTTCAAAACTCTGGAGACTGGAATCATTCCTTCCAAATGACTTTATTAGTAGAAGAGTGTGCTCCTTTAGTGAACCTGCCAACTTAAGAGAGTGGGGTAAAAAAAGAAGTTGAAGATGTTTTGATCATGATTTTATCTGAAGCTTTATAGGCACATCCTCATGCTTGAGTTACCTCAGTCTTCTGGGTGTAGAAAAGAACCCCACCCACTATCTGAGCCGCGAGAAGAACCGTGAGCAGGATAAAATACTGCAGATGAATGAAGCTTGTTTTAACTCGCTGTTACAGCTCAGTGGAGCAAATAAATGTACTGTTGTATTACAAACACCTGTACAAAGAACATGCACAATTCCCAAGAGGCTGGTGACAACTAAGCTCTTAACATTTTAGGAGTTCTCCTAACAAACAACTATATTTTTAAGATAAAAGTGTATTTCTATGTAGTCCCATCAAGTTTTGTTTCTCTAAAAACTCACAGTTGCCAGCAGGCATTTGACGGTCTTCAGAGAACCCAGACATCCTAAGAAGCCTAATGACATGGTCACAGATCCACTGATGATCAGGAAGTAGGAGAAGAGAGAGATGGAAATGTAGGGAGGGGAGGGGACTGTAAAAGACATGGAGCAAATTTTTGAATAGTTCACAATATATTATATAATATTAATAGACAAAGAATCAAAATAGCATTGTGATTTCTGCACTCAAAAAAATGTAACACATACTGAAAATTCTGTTCTCTGAAAGTAGTATCCATAGTCCCATTGATAAGAGGAGTGATCCTAAGAGCTGAATAAGACAGTTTTTGTTGAAAAATCAGAGCCCAACAGCAATCCGACATGTACATTGTATAAAATGTAAAAGTTTGGCCTTGCTGAGACCAAAAATACAACAGTTATATTACTGAAAAAAATAAATCTCATTTTTGCTGTTAAATGTACCAAATTGTATTGTAATGTGTGTATTTTATAGTTTTGGTTATAAAATACTTTATTTTATTTAAAGGGGTCATATGATGTTGCTAAAAATAACATAATATTGTGTATTTGGTGTAATGAAAAAAACACATTATTTTCCACAAACTGTACATTATTGTATCTCCTCTATGCCCTGCCTTTCTGAAACGCGTCGATTTTTACAAAGCTCATCAGTCTGAAATGCGAGGTGTGCTCTGATTGGCCAGCTATCTAGTGCATTGTGATTGGCTGAATACTTCAAGCTTATGACGGAAAATCTTACGCCCCTTACCATACTGTAATGCCATGTCCAGATGTCCTGACATTTTATCCTACCCGTCAGATTGTCCTACCAGGGTTTACTGCGTATGCGCACATCAATATTGCGTCCTTTTCTCATGCTGAACAGCAATATTTAATGTATCTGCATTACTGTAAGGGTAGGTTTAGGGTTGGGGTAGGTGCAGACTTTAATAAAACACAATCTAATAGGTAGAAAAAATTATTTATTGTTGGTTTCCTGTAGCTGTATCCCTTCTAGCTACAACCGCGAATATAACACATAATTACTGTATTTGCATTACTGAAAGGGTAGGTTTAGGGTTGTGGTAGCAACTTAACCACTGATTTCTATACGTGTCCTCTTTTGGAAGGCCAAACTTTCGCAACAAAAAGCAAAAGGCAAACAAAAAGACAGCGTCTTCACGACATGGCGGCGGTGGCAGCAACAATAAAGTTACGCCCTCTTTCTTTTCGTGAACATTTGGGCGGCATTATGCAAATCTTCCCACATCGTGACGTAGACATGTGGGGGCATGTTAGAACGAGGCGTTTTAGGAGGGCGTGGACCAGTCTTAACTTTTATGAAGAATATCTCTTTGGGTTTGAGACTTTAGTCTTTGCAACTCTAGGGATCTTATCTATTCACGAACAGCTTGTAGCAATCCAAAGAGAAAGGAAAACTTGAAATTGCATCATATGACCCCTTTAATTTTAGACCAGTTAACTGTGTCTTATGACTCATTTGCAACTTACAAAGAATATCAAGTTGAAGAGAAAGAGGAAGTATTTGGTGAGACTGAGACAGCACTCAGATGCCATATCTGTGAGCACAAAATAAATAAATATTAAAATCATCTTATAACAACCAGTGAAAAATTGTAAAAACAAAAAACAATAAATAAATAATAATAATAAAATAAGTTGTATTATCAGTAGCAGGGTGATAAGCAGAAAATAGGCCATATTGTTCAACTTTTAGTGTTCACAGATCCAAGCTGGTTTCACACAGTTTTTCTTTAAGAACAGCATGTGTGCTACATTTGTTTTTATATTTGTTTATATGGATTTGCTGCCCAGAAAGATGCTACAAAACAACCCCCTCTCTTCTTCTCAAGCACAAAAACAGAACAGGGTACAGGAAGTGTCTTGTATTCTCGTATTTCCTTGCCTATGGTAATGAAACCAAAGCTATCGTTTTACACAGGCATGCCATTAACTATTCAAGCACTAGCAAATGGGACAAAAGTGCTTTGTTTGCTGTTATGAAAATTTGAGAATACATCCTTTGGTGGTTACGTAAATTTAGATTTTTTTTTACCTCCTGTATGATGGTGAAAACAGCCAGTGTTTTTTTGTTGTTGTTATTTTCTACTTTTATAATGTTACTGTAGACAGAAACATTTTTGATAACATTTAACATTTATGCAATAAAATCTCGATAACTGTTTTCTCAGGAAATAAGGTTTTTAATAAACAATGTTTCTATATAATCAGCATCTAACTCGCATTTCTCAAAACATTTTAATAATGTTCCACAAAAGAAATAAAGATGTAAACCTACCTTAAATAAACGGGGCAGAGTCGGTAATGTTACACGGAGGGTAAATGAAACGTGGTGGCCTCACATGAGATCATGTAAAACTAAATTTTGCATAAATAAAATTCTTAATTCTGATTCGTTGTATTGCTTGAGAGTTCCTGTCTGCATCTCTGACTCTACTTCAGCAGAAAGCAGGCGTACAGAACACCCACCATAAATAAAATATCAGCCCTAGTCACGGACTCTTTTAGATCCATATACTCCCCTCTTCCTCCTCTGAATTAGCAGCATTTATTTTGAAATACAAGGTATGTAAATTATTATGTATCATGATATGACATTTTGTGATGTTTTCATGTTTTTCACAGGCTGTAAGATTTAGAACAATTAAAAGATTTGACATTTATAAAAAAAAAATTCATCTATTTCATCTATCAGCTATTTCCATATGCATATGATTTCAGCTTCTGTTCAAGACTTCAAGATTTTGATTTCTGAGAGGGGACAAAAGAAATTACGTTAGATATAAGAGCTGAGCTGATTTTAGCAGAAGATGAGTGCATAAAAATGAAACACGGGCAGAGATCAGGGTTGATTTATCTGAGGTCACTATTATGCCTCCCACAGGAGGCTGAAATTTCAGCTTCCATTCCCTGTTTCAATACGCTTCCTAGTCGGCCTGTTCCCCCTCCCATGCCCCAAATGCAGCTTTAGCACAATTAGTTGTAGATAATCAGGTGGAATGTTTTAGGGCTTCCCTGTTAATGGATAGAAAGGAGCAGTAGGTGCTGTAATTATATAGGGCAAAGTGCTGTTATTAAATGGAGAAAAGCATCATGGAACGAAATGGATTTTAGTATTGGCTCATGGGATCAGAGACACAATCCAATAGATAGATAGATAGATAGACAGACAGACAGACAGATAGATAGACAGAAGGACAGACAGGTGGAGGGATGGCTGGATAGATAGATAGGTAAATGCCCGTCCAATGGACGGACAGATGGATGGATGGACAGACAGACATACAGATAGATAGACAGATGGATGGACAAAGAAACAAATGGACAGAGAGAAGGATGGACGGAAGGATGGACAGACGATAGATAGATAGACAGACAGACAGACAGACAGACAGACAGACAGACAGA